AAGCTCCATGAGATTTGACACCTCTGGCTTCTTCAGGTACCAGCTCTCCACTCCATGCACATACCCACATACAGACACTTACACATACATAGTTAAAAAAATAACTCCTTAAAAAGAATTTCAACATAACCAACATTTACTTAATAAATTTCTCCCTTTCCAGCTGTAAAGCTGTGATTTCCTCAGAATCTTGCCAGGAAACCCCTTTACAGAAAAGGGACATGTCCTAGTCCCCGAATGCAATCCTAAAATGTCTAGCTTGACTTTATCAGATTATAATCTCATCGAAACACCACTGGACCTACCCTAGAATATCACACAAAGGAGAAAAGAAAACCTTTCTTAGCAACCCTTTGAGATGTTTCTTAAAAGCCACTAAAAAGATACCTAAATCTACTGCTAAGACACTTAATTGCTACTCTCTCTTGAGGAGCCCCCAAGCACGCTGATCCCACGCCTCTCTCTTAATCCTCCCATCTCCTTTAAAGATCCCAGTTAAAACGCCATCTACTAAACCGTGACTCTTGAGGAGCCCACACCATGCACTAGGTATGCTGTATTCTTTCTCTGAGCATCCTTCTGTTTTTAACACGCTCCAGTTCTCCTCCTGACCAGTCCTGAAGTTATTCTGTGTGGAAGCCAAGTTCAATAAACAATCATGGTAAATCCCTCAGGCTGCAGCGGGAGACAATGTCTGTCCCCATGGTGTAGCCTGTTCCTTCTGTCCTAAGGAAGAAAACTTCCCTGTCTTTTCCAGGAGTGTTTGCTGGCTGTGCTTGGGGTGTTTCCTCGTGGCTATGTCACTGTCTGTCCCAGGCCATTGTCTTCAGACAGCTGCAGGGTTTGTTTGTTTGTTTGTTTATGTGCCCATGTGTCCAAATCATTTTTTAAAAAATAAATGTATGAATGTTTTTGTCTGCACGTATGTATATGCACCATATCCATGCCTAGTGCCCAAGAAGAGGGCATTGGATCCCCTGAAACTAGAGTTAGAGATGGTGATGATGATGAGCCATGTCTTGCTGGGAATCAAACTCAGGTCTTTCAAAAGAGCATCAAGTGCTCTTAACTGGTGAGCTCTCTCTAGCATCTTTCTTTTTCTTTCTCTCTCTTTCTTTCCTTTCTTTTTTTCTCTCTCTCCTTTCTCTTTCTTTCCTTCCTTCCTTTCTTTCTTTTCTTTTTCTTTCTTTCTTAACAGGTCTCACAGTGTAGCCTAGGCAGGCTTTGTAAAAGGAACTTTTATTTCATCTTTTCAGTTGTTGTCTCAGAGGATTATTGCCTCTCTCTGCTATCCCTGGCCTAGTCTTCGAAGCTTTTAGCCTCCATACAATCTAACCTAGGCCTTGAATGTTTTCATTTCAGCCTCTGAGACTCACTGCTGAATAAGTTCACCTTTTCTTGTTCTTTCTGAGCTCATAACTGGCTGGTTCAACTCAGCTATTCTGGCTCAAACTCTTCTCCTGGATGACTTACTCAACCTGGCTTTTCTCTCCGCCACTGAATTGCTCTGCTTGGTCTCAAACTAACTCCAGCAATCTTTTCTAATCTGGCTCATTTTATCTTCATCTGTGTCCTTTCTCTGCCACCTGTCTATTACTGTCCCACTAAAGCTGCCTCTTAGCTTTTTCTGCATTGTGTCTTTCGTAGCTTCCCTTTCCTTTCTGTTTTCGTGACAGTTGGGCATATCCTAGTCTGTCAAGTCTTTCTGATTCATCACTTTTTCTACCACTCAATTAGATATTACTTTCAAACATAGGTGTTTCCTTCTACAAACTAACCTTTCCGTCATTGTTTATGATTAAAGGCATGTACCATCACACCTGGCCCTAAGCTTTTCTTTTCCTGAAACTCACCCTATACCAGGCTGGCCTTGAACTCAGATCTGCATGCCTCTGTTTCCTGGATTAAAGGCGTGTTTGTATTCCAGCCGGATCACACAGACCAAGAAGGTCTTTTGATGTGATCTCTTGCCAGAACAGCCACGTTCTGGATTAAATTCCTCTACACTGCTTCCCCTGGGATTACAGGTTTGTACCATGTCTGGCTCCCTTTTATTCTTTTTTCCCTTTGGGGTGTGTTGTGTAGATGCCCGTGTGAACAAGTATACCACCTTTCACATGTGGGGGGCTAAAGGATGACCTTAGGTGTCAGTCCTTGCCTTTTTACTTGAGACAAGATCTCTTCACTGCTGGAAACCAAGATGGCTGCCTCCCACCGTCCCACAGGCACACCGGGACTGCAGACACTGCCCTGCAGCTTTCATGTGGGTTAAGTGATGGGCTGGGTGATCCAAACCCAGGTTAGCGGACTTGTACCCACCGAACCATCTCCCCAGTCCTGGCTCTGTTTTCTTAGAACATCAGCCATTAGATTTAAGACCTATCTAAATGTATCTTGATTCATTTTAACTTGACTTCATTTGCAAAGACTCCATTTCTACGGGTGTCCTTTTGGACTGTTGTTTTTCACAAAGCTAGATAAGAAACCCAGAGCCTCACACATGCTAGATAATAATAATAATAATAAAACCCAGCAAGCTAAACTCCAGTGAGCTGTGTTTCTAAATAAGGTCACATTCACATGTCCGGTGCGGGTGTGGTGTGACTTGGACATATCTATCTCTTGTGAGGAGGGGAGAATACAGCTGAACTCATTGCACCAGCCAGATGTAACTCTTCAAAGGTAGCTGGCAAATTCTTAAATTCTTACTTTTAGTAAGCCTCAGCATGGTCATACAAGCCAGAGGAACTGAGTCTCCCATGGAGCCATAGGCCTGGGATAATGAGGGAGGTGGCTCCCTGGAATGGGGTTCACAGGAGAGCCCTCAGAGGGATATGTTGACAGCAGAAAAGCTGCTTAGAGGAAGTCTGGTAGCAAAGAAATGTGGACAGTGCATCATGGCGGACAGGAGAAAGGGACAATGGTACCCTGGATTGGCTAGCCTCAGACGTCTAGTGCCGCCCAATCAAGGCGTCTGTGGATCCATCAGGAGTCTGCTGCGACACTCCAGAGAACTGTTTGGGGGTTGGAGTGTAGAGCTCAGTGGTAGAATTCTTGCCTAGCACATTGAAGTCCTGGGTTCCACGACCAGAACTTGAGAAAGGCATAGAGTTGTTCCAAAGCTGCAGAAGATCTCCAGCTGGTGGTCAGGGGGAAGCAAGGGTGAACCTGAAGGTGCTCCCTTGTTACCTTACAGGCAGGGATGAGCCTTGCATCACCCAGGCCTTGTATCTTCCAGAGTGCAGTGGCTCTCTCCAAGATCTCCCTCTGGGTTAATCCTACCTCTCTCTGAGACAAGAGATTTGCATCTAAAACTCCAAACGGGTTCCCCAGTTAACTGTAGTATTCAGCAGGTAGAGAACTTGGCATCTCCGAGGTTGAAGTTATCTCAAAACTTGTCTGCTTCCCAGCAGTTCCGGCATCAGAAACATCACTCATTAGTCATTCACTCTTCAAAATGAGGGGGGTGTGAGGCGTAATGCTCTCTCTGTACACATTAAATCACACCAAACCCTTCCCTGTGGCCACTCCCTGATGCTTGCAGTTCAAATCGATGTGCGGGCTGAGTACAAACCATTAACACCATGAGCCCCTAACCTGAGCGCGGTTCCTTTATCTCCGCTGTGAAAGAGCGTTCTTCAACATTATCACAGATCTAAAACTCCCCGGAATGACACAAATCTCCACATGGGGTGTACTGACCTCTGCTGTGTCATGAATCCTCCACATCGCAAAGCTTTATTATTTTTTTCGTCGTGAAATCTTTTGCTTAAAAAAGAACAACAAAACGCTTTAAAAAAAAAACTGAGGGGCAAAATAATAATAATAAATTCACATTGTTTAAAATGTAAATTCAAATTTAAAAGGCCGAGAGGGGCAAGTATCTTTAAAACCCTATCCGTCTGGTTCCGGAGTCCTGGGGTGGTTCCTGGGGAGACTGTTTGTGCCCTCTCTCCTGACCATTACAAGAAACTCCTCGTTCATCAACGATAAGGCAGAAGTCTAAGCTAAGGAGCTCAGGTGCTGTTGTATTCTCCCAACTGTATTGTGGAGAAAAGACACAAAGACAGGAGGCGCCTGTGTCCACCTGGCCACACTTTGCATCCTAGATTCCAGTCTTATGGAACCGGCAAACGGCAATTTCAGGAATGAAAAGGACCTATCGCCATAGCGCGCAAACCTAAAAACAGCCGTAAAAGCCCAGTTCGGCTACCCCCAACAGTTCTGCTCCCCAATAACTTGGAACACGAAAACCTATTCCAAACCAAGTTTGTGCAGCTCAGCCTTCCAGGGAAGTCTTTCGAGTGGACGCGCCCGCCACCAGCAAAGCACTGCAAAGTCGGAAGGCTGAAGTTACTTCACGCAGTGAAGCCGCATCAGCGATGTCAATTCAAACACCCGGATTAGCCTGCCATGTTTACCAGGACGTGGGAAGAACAACCGATGTTGGCGGGCACCTTAAACTCCCCATCCCCAAAACGCGCACCAAATACTCAAGAAACTTCACAGGGCCTCTGCACATTTCCCTGGGACTCCGGCGGACTGCAGAGCCGGGCTTAAACAATAGAACGCGGAGGCGACCGGAGTCGCTGAGAACGACGCGCGAGGTGGAGTTGGTTTTCAAATGTCTCACTGGGGCTGAGGCGTTTGTCCTCGGCTCCTGCACTTCTCTGCAATCTGTTCCCACGGTCACTGTCTCTCAGCAGCCAGGGATCCGGGCGCAGGTACTGCGTCCCGTGGGTGTCGCGGGGGTCGCACCCGGCCAGGTTGTGCAAAAAAGCACTCTGGTCCCTTCCCGCGGGTCAGCGGCGTGCCAAAGTAGGTGGCCCCATCACTCATGCTTGCTGCCAATACCACTCGTAACTTTTGAAATCAATCTACCCCCCCCCCCTTTTTGCATCATGCAACGGATGCCACCGATCCTTGGGTTTGCAACCCCCCACCCCTCCCCCGAGACCAATCATTGCCGCGCTCGGGCCTCTGCACAGCGCCCCCGCCCCCTTCCCGGGCCGCACGCAGCCACCGCCACCGCCACCAGCAACACCGAGCGGCTCCGAACCCCGGCCCGCCGCCTCTTAAAGGGAGGTGGCCGCTCTTAAAGGGACCCTCGCGCGTCCGGCGGCGGGGGGGGGAGCGCGGCGGCCCGGTTCCCGGAGGGCCGCGCCCAGCCCTAGGCCGAACTCCACGCGGCAGTCCAAGCGCGGGGCCGTGCCGCCGCCACCGGGAGCAGCATTTTTATTCAGGCGACGCTTAAGGGAGCCCGGCGCGCCCGGTGCATTGTGGGAGCGCCGCGGCCCGTTTTCGGGAGGAGGCGGAGGGCGCAAAGCGAGCCGGTAAGCGGCGGGCCTGGCGAGGGGGGGCGAGACAGCAGGCTTAAAGGGGAATATCGGGCCGCGGGCCCGGCGCGGCCGTTGCAAATCCCCCTCCGGGCCGCCCGGGACGGCCGGGGAGCCGTGCACCGGGGCCCTCCGCACGCCCGTGCCTGGAGAGGGGCCGAGCCCAGGGCTTGGTGGGGCCGCTTTAAAAAAGAAGCGCCGCCCGCGCCGCTGCCTCCTCCGCCGTCGCCGCCGCGGCGCGCGGGGCCGGGGTTGGGAGGGAGGAGCGGAGGGGGAGGGCGGCGGCGGCCACGCAGGGGTTAATCTTTTCGCCCGCCGACATTTTTGTGTGGCGGCGCGGCCGGGGAGCCCGCCCGCGCGCGCGCGCCGCGCCGAAGCCGCCCGGTGCCC